GATAGTGAAGAGACAAGTAATTGAATAACTTAAGGCTACAATGAGATGAGACATAGAACAGAAGGGATCCACAAATCCTTCCAGGTCGTTAATTCTGCAATAATATAGTCTAGTCTAATAGTCTCATTGCTCTTTTTACTACAAAGAAAAATTACTTACAAATATTGTAGGTAAAGGTATCAAATAAGGTCCTGCACTATATCGAAAAGTCAATTAAATTCTCGTACTACTAAATCACTCAATCAAGTCCCCCAACTATAAAAGAACCAACAAATTTAGATTTTTAGTTGGTTGATTATAAATTTCACCGTCAAATCACCGGTAAGCTCAGTTGGATACCCACATGTCATTGTTTCTTTTTCTTTTCTTTTTCCTCTTTTTTCTTCCTTTCTTTCTTCTTCCTCCCCTGCTCCACCCGTACGCCAGCAAGTCCCCAAGACTCCAACTCTACCACTCATCATGAGCGTGCCCCACGTCGGAGAAGGAGATCCGCAACAGCACCCATGGCCCACGTGTCTCTTGCAAGTTGCAACACTTTGTGCCTCTTTATACTCGCTGAGGTCTGAAGATGAAGAATGACAAGCTTCTTTTGATTGGATGGGGTGAAAGAAAGAAAGAGAGAATGAGAGGGGGAATAGAGAAAAAGAAACCAAAGTTGCAGTTTGGGTTGAGTGGAAGAAGATTGCCAAGGGAAAGAGAAGGGGAAGAAGAAGAAGAAGAAAAGAAAGAAAAGGGCAAAAAAAAATGCCACTTGGATTCATCATGTGTATAAATTAATCTATTAATCGGTTGAAGTATTGAATTGAGAGGCCGTTTGGCAACACTGTTTTTTGGATTATCAGGCTTATCAGCCAACTTTTTCACCAAACACGTAACTTTTGCTTTCGCGCGTTGAATTGTGTAATAAGGTTGGAGTTACTTTTCTGGCTGTATTGGCTGAAGTTACTGTAGATGATAATTTTAGCTATTTTTACATATAATTTTTTCTTTATTTCATTAATAAAATATATTTTAGAAATATTTTTTCTTAAATCAGCAGAATTGGCCAAAACAGCCAATTTTCGTGCTACCAAACGGGCTCTGAGTGTTTTTTTATAGTTAGAGGATTTAATTAGTTGATTTAATAGTACGAGAACTTAATTGACTTATTTAAATTTTAATATATTACGAGGAGTCGAGGACCTATGCCACAATTTTTCCAATATTGTATTATGGTCCAGAGTTATATCATCCTTATGAGTCTAATTCTTAAGCTATTAGGAGTCATAGACTTATAATCAATAATCCACGAGAACTCATTTTCCGAATTTTCTCACGTATAGAAATTCAGATTGCAAAACCGTAAATGGGATGGTATAACACTTTGTTTTAACAAAATTGACTTTTTTTAACGAAACTGGCTTAATATATCATACCAAAAAAGACTAGACAGACCGAACTAAACCAGGTAACCGTGTGCCGACAAGTCCCCTGTCTACCGTCCGCCCAAGGACTAGACTCTGAATTAATCATATCCGTAGAAGCCATATAATTCGCGGATCCCGCTTTGGGCATACCTGAGCCTATGACTTGTAGACACGACACATCAATACCTGTTTTAGCATCCAAAGTATTCTTGCTGGAAAAACCCAGCACCATCAAAACAAAAACAACATCCAGAACGTGCAAAAGAAACAAAACACAATAACTAGAATAAAAAAGTTCTTTAGCTAGAAAAGATGTAATCAACAGTAGGTTCTCTGGCGGGGCTGGGGAGCAGCGCCTGCCCCATCCCCGTTTTTTGGAGTCCAACGCCATAGCATCCAAACCAGCCCCCTCCCTCGTCTGGTCCTCCCAAATGCGCCTTCTCTTCAGCTCTCCAATCAGTCCACCCTCCTCAAGCTCGCTTGAGGCCGCCCCCTTTCCCACATCTACTTTAATACTCTCCTCCTCCTCTAGGACCCACTCCTGCCCTGATTTCACCAACTTAGACAAGTGCATATCGTCACCAGAGGAACTTCCTTCCGTTATCAACCACTTGCTTCCCGGCCAAGTCAAATTTCGAGCTCCTGCCACTCGCTCTAAGCCATGGCCCAAATGGTTTGGTCATAGCTTGTCCCTCCTTTTCGTACAGCAAGGGGCAAAATTTCTCTGCATGGCCGATCATACCACAACAAAAACAGAAGCTTGGCAGCTTTTCATATTTAAAATCTACCCAGTGCCCTTCACCCTTACTTTTCCTTAGAGTGATTCCAACCTATAAAGCTTTACTAGTGTTCATACGAACTCACATACGCATATAAGTCTCTTTTTTATTGCTAAACTTTTGTTCATCCCATGTAATGAACTTCCCCAGATATATAGTTCCCTATTCTCCTTGTCGTACCCAAATTTTCAAAATCATACAACACATTATGGACCTGTACCCATATCTCAAATTCATCTAACACCATTTTAGACGGGATATCACCCGGTTTAACAGCTTTTAGCACAAGCAAACTTTGATCAAACAGCCAGGGTCCATTTTCCAGAACCTGATTCATATCAACAGAATGAAAAAACTTAAACTGATACCTATGTCCTCCAAGTTCTTGTATAACAATACCTTTTCTCGGGTGCCATAGCTCAGCCATGAATCCTCGGAAGAACGGGAATCGGATAACCTTCTCCGTGAGAATCTTCCCCACAACCGGGAATTCCATCGCCCTCGCTGCCCCTGCTGTCAAGTCCCCATCTTCGTCATCTTCAAGCACCAATTCGTCATCAACACCCCCAATTCTCAAGCCTCCATACTTAGCAACAATCTCCCCAACCTGATCTTTCTCCAATTCTCGAAGCTCGCTGCTCCCTTCGTCACCAGCGGCTTCCATCTCAACCCCTGATTCGAGGCCTGCCCCTTGTCTCGAAATACGCCGCTCGCCGAACGACGACCCGCCGAACCCACCAACGCGTGCCACTTCCTGGTCGCGACCCTTCCTGCACACCTCGCCTTCGATGTCCTCCATCACGCCTCAAAACCGTTGCTACGATTTCGGCCTTCGTCTTCGATTGGTCTGCACTCGCCTCGCGCCGCACACAGGACGACGATGAAACGACCCTCAGCTCTCGATTAGGGTAAAAAATTAGTGACTTTTACAAAATTGACTAAATATGCTGATGTTACTAATCTATGATTGAAATGATTAAGTTAATCAAATAAGTTGAATTATGAAATAATATTATTTGAAATCTATTTTATTAATAAACTAACAAAATAGGAAAATAGTTAGCATGAGAAAGAACCAAATAAATTTCACCTCCAAATTATTAGTCATTCCTTTAGTATGGAGAATTACTTTCAACTTAATCCTCAACTTTGACCCTTACTTTTTTTTATCGTCAAAACTGGAAGACTATTAACTCAATAAATCGTTAGCCAGATGACTAGAAATACAACTAGGAGCATACAAATAATCAACACACTGATCTGAGATGTTTACATGTGCCTTAGCCAGAGCGTGGGCAACATGATTCGCAAATCTTTTACAAAAAGAGATTTTAAAGTTACTCTTTGTTTCTAACATTCGAGGAATATCATCAATAATAAGATGAACATACTATTTTAAAAATGTTTGTTTTTTTAGTGTGAAAAATTCTGTGTAAAGAAATTTACAAAAAAATATTATTTGTATCGGCCCAGTCCGACCTAGTGATCTAGCTCCGTCCCTGCCATAAGCGCATCTGTCTCGATCTCCACCCGCTGCCAACCCTCCTCAATTGCTCCCATAATGGCATCTCGGATTCCCATGGCCTCAATCTCCTTGGCCATCCACCCCGCCCTTCTTCCGGAGCCACGACCTTTCACAAAATTACCCCTGTCATATCTAGCCACCCATCCCCAAGCTCTAATGCCTCCCTCTTGATTAACCGCTCCATCAACATTAGTTTTAATTATTCCCTGCGCTGGACACCGCCACTTCACCACCCCTTCATCCACCACCCGATCCTCCCCCATTTTGTCATGCACGTCGTTCCATGCTGAAATCATACTAGTCGTCAGTGTTAAAACAATAGAAGCTTCCAAACTTTGATCCTCCCAAACCACTCTGTTCCTCCTTTTCCAAATACTCCATAAGATAGCGATAAAACTGCCATCAAGATCCTTATTTAGACGGAGTATATTTCCATCCCAAGGATATCAACATTTACACATAAAGAACCTCCGGAATTTACTAAGTCTTTCTCCCACCGAGGCTGAGCTCGACCTCGGCCGTGGTCGGGTCCAATATTCGACTCCTTGAACATCGAGATAAAGTGGGAACTGCATCTGAGGTCCAGGTTAACTCTCGTCGAGGACGACATCAAATCCAGCGTCATTGCCAAGCTTGAAGTAAACTGGCGCTCCTCGTGGTGAGCGGAACAGAAAAAGCATCATCACATTGTATATAGCGAATTGTGGTTGTCCTCCTCTAAACAAGCACGCTATAGTCGAGCTTGACCTCATCTGCTAAGCTTGGGACCTCGTAGGAGGGTTATGGACTTGGGCGTTCCAACACTCAAGTTCCACATATAAATAGGGCTACATCACCCGCGCGACAGCTATCCTGAACTATGTCACCGAGACGGTTTTTCTAGATAAGCACACATGTATTCCAGTACATAAAGGACAAATTATGTTTCACACAGTATCAATTAGACAAATATCTCCATTTTATTGCCAATCAAGTGTTACATGTATCACTATATAATTAGACTAGCATATTTTACTTGATAGCCAAGTACTACACGTGTCGCCACCACATTACGATAACATCTTTTATATTTGGGCACTAAGTATTCTCTTTACAATATAAATATCACCTTTCAGTCTGAGGAATGGAATCCAAATTTTTGCGCAAAATTTAATGCTATTAAGCCGAATTTTGCTACTCAATTTTACTTAGCCCTGGGTCGGATATCCATCACATATATTCATTACTAGCCCCTCCGCACAAAAAAAAATATTGATAAAAAACAGTGCTCATAAGAAGAAGAAAACTAACCAAATGGACACTAAATAATCTTGATATCACATATATCACACAATAACAATTTGCATTTGAAGTAGACAGAGAGACACGTCTAAACTCTAAAGTACGTGCTTTAACAGGATGCCTAAATAAGGCTTATGTTTTTTCCTGCATAAATAATCATATTAACAAATGAACATATATAACAATGTCTAGAATCTCATCTTATCCTCTTTTAATGCTGCAATACTTGACCATTTGCATTACTGGTGCTCTCCTGCCTGGTTTTCAGGCTATGCACTCTGGTCAGATTTGACTTTGACTTTTTCCACAACTCTGTTCTAAATCAAAGTTGCATCTAGGACTCCTGGGAGTAACCCTCTTTCCCATGCTCAATAGTCTCTTAATGGACCTCATTCTGCTGGTAACCATTGGAGACAATTTATCCTCTTCATCCTCTTCAACAATCTCCCTAGGAATGTCAATTACCAACTTACCCTCCCTTCTTAGCCTGCTACTCAAGCCTTTTGATCCAGCTGTTGATGAGGATGAGGAGGATGATGAAGAAGAAGAAGATGATGGTGGCATTTGAATGGAGATCTCAACAGAAGCTGCCAGGGTGATCTGCTCTGTCACTCTCATGCCTTCTTCTTCTGCGATTCTTGATTCATCAGTGGGACCCACAACGGGAAGTCGACAGAGAGGACACGTGGAATGGGAATGGAACCACATATCAATGCAATCTGCGTGAAACCCATGGTTGCATTGGGGCAAAAGCCTCGCCTTTTCACCTTCACTCACCTGACTGAGACAAACTGCACATTCCAGTTCTTCTTCAAAGTTGAAATCTTTACCATTCCGGCTAAACGGGATCACTGGTATTGCCTTCAGTACGGATGGGTCAAGCCCCCTGCGGACGACCGCGGCCTCTTCTTGAATGCGGCGGCGCCGGGCGGTGGTGGAGAGGCTGACGCCGTAATTGTCTGCGGGAGGATGGCGGGCGAGCCATCTGGTGTAGAGATGGAAGAGGAATACACAGACTGCCGCGAAGAAGAGGCTTATGACTGCCACCACAATCACTTTCCCAGTTAGCGCAAGCACGTTTGAGTCGTTTAGCGTCCCACCCAAATCCGAAGAAGAATCCGCCATTTTTTGAGGGAAAGAATCTTCTTCAACTTGGAGAAGAAGAAGAAGAAGAAAGAAATGGGGTTTCAGAAGTTGGGTGAGAGTGGTGTATATAGAAAAGGGGAAGGAAGTGAGTGAGACAGTTTCGTGGAATTTGTCACGCAAGAGGAAGAAGAGTCGCCCGCACAGTAAGCGTTAGGGCGGCTTGGTTCTTCAACGGTCAACCACCAAGAAGAGTCAAATTCAACTACTCCTCTAAGGGGAGAGACCATTTCCTTTACTTCTATTTATTCTCTTGAGGTAGACCTGAATCTAAGCCAATTTGCAATTGGTTGCTTTCCTATCCATTGATCCATCCCTTTTTTTTTATTTTTCAAGTGATAACTCTCAAAATTTCATTAGTTGTGCATGGTACAATACTACAATCCACATGGTTTTCTGGATCCCGATGATTCACGGGGTAAATGCCGGAGAACATTTACTAAGTTTATTAATTTAAGCACTAAATGGTATAAATAGTACAGAGGAAACACATATTCAATTTTAGGGGTAGGAGATTGATAAAAACTTATTAGGGGACATTCGAACCGTTCTGAACTAGGGGTGGACCGGTTCCGGGCCGGGCCGGGCCCAGTTCGGTTCTATATAATTTTTTTTTTTTGGGTTTTCCTAATCAACCCCCTACCCTCCCCCTCAACTCCAAACCACCCCAAACCACCTCAAATGCCCCAAAATACCCAATCCAACCAAAAACTTAAAAAAAATTAAAAAAAAAAATAAAAAATTAAATCCGGCCCGGACCGGGCCCGAACCGGCCGGGCTGGTTCACCAAAATGAAGGCCCGAGCCCGGAACCGGTAGCCACCGGGCCGGGTCGACCCGAACCGCCCATGGGCCGAGCCGCCGGGCCGGGCCGGGCCGGTTCAAACAGTGATTGGGCCGGGCTGGTTCCGGTTCGGGCCGCCCGGCCCGAGTCCAACCCTATTCTGAACCATTTCATATTTAAATGAGACAAGATTAAGACAAAAGTTTTTCCCATATTATCTTGAGTCGAAGTTCGGAACCAGAATAACCATAATCCCAATTCCCAAACCATTCCAAATCTTGCTCACCTTTAATTGTTACTAGTAGTTTGCTCATAGGAAGCCAACTCTCAAGTACACATTTTTCATTTTCAGCCACACATTTTTAAAAAATAGTTTCAAGACTGACAATATTACTCGCTCCACTCGCTTTTACTCAATGAGTTTCCCTAATATTTTTAACTGATATCTAGCACTGGGTCATCCAGAAAGAGCCTATATATGTTTTAATACATGGTTAAGGCTGCGTACATCTGACCCCCCTACCCCACCATAGGTAGGGTAGGGGTAGGAGATTGTACTCCATCCGTTCCTTAAAACTTTGTAAATTTTCTTTTTCGATTGTCCCACTAATTATGTCACTTTCTCTTTTAAATACAAAATTTGTAGTCCCAGTTAATTTTCTCAGCTCTGCAGAAATCTCAATCACAGGGTTCTTACTTTAGTAATCCATGTGCCGGTCAAACTTGACAAGTTTTAAAGGACGGAGGGAGTACTTACTATAGAAAAGGTAAAGATAAGCTAAAGAAAGCAAGAAAGATTGGGCATAGAAACTGACAAACTGTAAAAGATGAAAAGTAGGGAAAATCTGGGCTTTCATGGATCCTTCACCTTAGTGGTCAAGGAGAGTTCAAATGCAGCCTTATCGGCTGCTAGCCAAACCGGCGGCTACATGTGTTGTCAAACTAGACGGACAATGGTGTATTTGCATTTCTTCTCCTTCAGTAGTGACTAGACAAACTATTTGTTCAAACTTCAAAGAATGAGTAGTTATGCTATCAAATTTTTTAAACCAACAAGAAACTTCATAAAAATGCGGAGCTAGTAAAAATTAACCGAAAAAGTTTTAAATTAAAAATAACCATTAATACTGGTACTATTATTATGATTAGCATATACGTACATTATTATTATCTTTTCAAGTTAATTAATAAAATGATATCAATTTTATAGTAGTAATTTGCCATCATCAAATGAATCAAATATTCCCATCACCTAAATTATTCTCTTAACTCATCAATAGTAATGATAATAAAAAACAGTAATACTAACAATAACAATAACAGTGACATTGTTAGTACGAAATTTAAACAGAAAATAAACAAATTCAGTAACTATATGAATAGTGCAGTTAAAAGAGAACATGAGCGAAGCTTAGTCCTCGTATCATTTGTCAATCCAGTCTTTGAAGAGCAGCATCATGTATAGAGGGACATTAAAGGCAGCTATTATAAAGAGCACTCGAAATACCCGTAACAATCTCCTGATCGCCAACTTAGTTTTGTTTGCCCGAGATGCCACCTTTGCACCCCCAACATCAGGAGGCATTGAAATATCCACCTCGGGAACATTTTGTTTTCTGGCAGCTGAACGCATGACAGCATTTCCCCTGAATGGTGGTGGAAAATTTAAGTAAACATGTTTAATTTTAACTGTTCAATCTATTAATGTAGTATAACGTTAACCCGCTGTGGTCTTCACCTAGTTGAATATAATAGCTACCTCAAATCTTTGATCTTGTGATATTTTCTATGAAAGTAGTAAGAAACTAGAATGACCTGCCTCATTATTCTCTTGTAAGAAGGTAACACTTAAACTGTAAACTATTTTGCATGAATTTGTAATGTTGTAACTAGTTTTACACAATTAACTAGCACTATTGGACCTTTTGGAACCTGGAAATAGAGGGGAGGTTGAAACTCTGAATCAACTTTAGACAATTGTTCAGATTCAAGTTATTTGCATATTTCTGTTATTATAGACGAAGTGACAAACTAATCTTAACAAAAGTAAAAACGATAAAGAGTCAAATTTGATTTTCCTTGGTATTTTCCAATGTATAACCAAACATAAGGGGAAAAAATCCAAAACTTTTTTTTCGCTTACCCTATGATTTTCCATGTTCCAAACATAGCCTATAAGTTTCATACCATGTGACATAGTTGAGATTAAGGTGGTGGTGATTATTATTGACAAACATTCAGCAAGGCTAGAGGGGTTACCTTTCCACCGAAGACTGACTTGAGTGTGTAGGAGGAGCTTTAGAGGCTTTCCGTATGAGGTGCATCGACCCTTCAGCATCCCATACCTCCTCATACTCGTAAATTTCATCATCATTCTTCTCTTTCGTCCCTCCTCCAGACATGCTAAAACTAACTACATTTTTCATGTACTCACCTAGGTGATGCAAGAAACGAAACCCATTTGTGGGCCAGAAGAGGATACTAAGCACAGTCATGATTAACAGCACAAGATACCTATAACATGCATAGGTTCAGTGTATAACCACTTTAAATGTAAGCCACATATATTTGGTGTAAATTAATATAACTACCATATATAAATGTATGTTTGGACAGGGAGAAAGCATAGAGTAGTGGAAACAGCATTTTCTGGAGGAGAACCGTCTGGTAAGGTAAGGTTACTCACAGATAACAACATAAAAGAGGGAAACAAATTTCCCTGCTGCCAACTTACGGTCCCTAAAGTGTGCTGCATAAAGTAATTCATCAAACATCTCCTTTATTGATAAAAATTTAAATACTAAATCAATAAGAGTGGATACCTCTTTTACATCACCATGCTTCGTTGAGTGCATAACTGTACATTGATCATGATCATGCCCAGAAAGGATTAGAGCCTACAAAAACTCAATTTGATTCTTTTCAAAAGAACAAACTGTAACTAATTTAGGTAGAAATAAAATCTAAAAACCTTTTCATAAGGTTTCAGTCTATTATCATTTTTCCGTTTGCAGGCAAAAATCATGGGACAAATATAATACACATACAGGTTTGATCAACTCCAGTAAGAAATTTGTTTGGTCTTCAGTTATATAGTTTTGGTACCTGCGTGAGAAATTGTAACCAAAAAACTTGTTTAAATTTCAATACTAGAGCGCAGAAATGGGGAACATATATAGTCATGAAAGAAACTTACAGTATCTCCTTATCATGATCAGCACGGTTAATCCTCTGAAATGCATAAAGAACTATAAGCAATTTTTAACAAATACGGTGTATTTAGGATATTACCAACACCAAAGCAAAGAAAAGATATTAACCCTACCTGATTAATGATTGGTGATGAACGATAAGGACCACATGAAGTCCCATCAGGTCTATACAGTGGGATATGAGTTAATAGAACAGTGGGACTTGAGGAAACATCTACATAGTGGCCATTTAAAAAATTAGGAACATAATATTTAAACGGAAATGGAAACGTTAATATGAAAAGGACAATAAAAACACAAACTCCCATACTCGTGGAGACATCTTTAACAAAATCTAATGTAGCAGCGGTCTCTTTCCCCTGGGGCTGCCCTGGAGAAATAATGTTATTCCATCAGCATCTTCATAGTACTCTGTAGTAAGTATGGTCCAAGATATCAAAAATAAAGAATCACACATTTTAATGAGTGTTTTTCGGATACAAAGCAAATAGGCAATCATAAAGAGACATTTATTTTCAAAAGACTGCACAAGTATATGTCACTATGGAGAAAAACATACAATATACCTACACTATGACGCATGAAATGTGGAAAGTTCTCAAACTAATATGACTCGCTCATAACAAGAAGATGACCTCAAGATGAAGAAACTTACCATCCAAGGTTTGTGCATCAACAGCAATAAAGTTCACTTTTCCAAGTGTAAAATGGTAGTTCCTCATACCAAATACTTTCTCATAGCGTCTTATAACCTGAATGCATATAAATAAAAACAGACACATGCAACTATAAGAAACTGTCAAATGACAGAAGCTGTAACAACTTATTGAAAAAATGTATCTTAAAACAAAATCCAAAAGCGAAAAGAATAAAATTTGAAAACGGAAAGTCTGCCAATATCAGTCCAAATTTGAAAATAACATGAGAAAAATCTCTAAGATATAATTAAAAGTTGTTGCCTTCAGGATATTTAATAATACAGATAAATGTACATATATATATTCATATAAACAGAAAA